TAGTCAACTGTACGATTATTTTTGGTTTTTGATTACTTGGGTGCCATTTGATCATTTACAATTTAGTCTGATAGAAATTTGCTTAAAAAGTATGAAATTTTTTGGTTGTAATCTTGATTTTGTTTCACCTCAATGTAGTTAAAACTTCAACTGTTTTTCGATTGGTATTTTTAGATCATCACAAAAGATTTTTTTATTTTCCTTTCTTTGTTTACATGATTTTTGGTTGTAATTTTCTCTGGAGAACAGAAAACGAAAGCTTAGGCACACTTATAAGAAACCTTGATGGTTATTTGAAGACATATTCTACTACTATTTTTTATTATTATTTTGGTGAGGCTTTGTAAGGCGTTAGGTATTCATCAGCGTCGCAGTCTGCTCAGTCTCGAGTGGTTTTACTACTTGAGTTTTTAAACATCTTCGAAAAAAGTTTTGTTACGAAAATTTTATATTATTTTGTTTTTTAGACTTTCCAGATCTTTTTATTTTTCTTTTATGTTTTACTGTTTTTTATACTTTGACACTTTTGAGGACATCTCAGAATGTTAGGTCACTTGTTTGATAACCTTTTGATAATGATTTTAAGTTTACTCTTTGTTCTCGCTTTGTTCTTTGATGTTCATTGGTGAGTGAGATTCTGCAACGGTTTCGTAGAAGTCTTTCAACAATTGCTACGTCAATCTAATTTTACTATTGCTGTTTTGCTTCGAAAAAATCCTTATAACGGTTACCGTTACTGATAGTTTGCTGTACTTTTGGTTTAAAAAAACCTATTCTATTTATGATTTTCGTTCGTTTTAAGGACTTGAGAATTTATCTTATTTATAACCTCAACGGGCATTTAATATATATAAGTTTTAGTTTCTAGAAAGTTTTAAGAATTTAGAGGAATTGGCTAACTTTTTTAAACTTTTTTTACATTAAATTTAGGCAGCTTTATACGAATATTTATGTCGGTCTTTCAGCATGGGAATTAAATTAAGGAGAAAATTTTTGTATAAGTAATTTTTAATTGTGAATTTTAGCTAGGAAAAACAGAAAATTCAGTAATTGAAGAGAGAAAAATAAGATTTTCAGAAAAATTGAAAAGCCGTTAAATTTTTTAGCATTGTGTAAATGTGAAGTGGATGGATATTTGTTGATGATGTCGTCCACCGAAGATGTACGGTGATGATTGACACTAGTTTAAGTTTCACTCACTGAGCCTCAGTTGTATTGCTCAATGTTCGTTCGCCCATCCATCCGTGTCTATGTGTATCCACTCATTTGCATACAATATTCGACATCTCCCTACCATTGTCCACTTCTGTAAGACGGTTTTTTTTTGGGTTACCTTATTTTCCCTG